AGCACGACCACCCCCCAGCACGACCACCCCCCCAGCACGACCACCCCCCAGCACGACCACCCCCCAGCACGACCACACCCCAGCACGACCACTCCCCAGCACGACCACACCGCCTTGGTTGAGTGGTTGCCTGTCGTCGTGGAATGTTTCGTGGGGTGTCTCGTGGAATGTTTCGCGGGGTGTCTCGTGAAATGTTTCGTGAGGTGTCTCGTGGAATGTTTCGTGAGGTGTCTCGTGGGCTGTTTCGTGAGGTGTCTCGTGGGATGTTTCGTGAGGTGTTGCCCAGTTGGGTATCATGAAAACGTGTCCATGCTCCACATGTCTATATCCCTTTCCGGGTTCGTGGGTCCATCATGTTTTCAGGCAGGATGCGCGAACAGCTCGTGGGCAAGAACCCGCAGGGCGAATTTCTAACGAGGATCGCTCAGCCGTATCCGTCGGTTCTTCTGCTCCCATGTTTGTCAGAGGTTGGGTCTCAGATGATGGCTCTATACCACGCGCTCGCCTAACCTATTATATCAGCTGTGCTTCGCGCGTCCAGCACCAAGTTATGGGGGTCTGGGGTATCTAACCTTGGCGATGTGCTCGCTGCTGCACGCTCGTGGCCTCGCGAATCGCTCCGTGCCAGTGCTGGCGGATATCAGATTGCGGGTCTCGTGGCCTCACCCCAGCTGGCGATCGTAAAATAGAGGGGTCCATGCAGACATTGTCAGTGCTTGCGCGTTGTTGTCTGTCGCCGTCGTTCCGACGCCGTCTGTTGTTCTGTAGGTTTTTCGGTGATCCCCAAACCGCCCCTATGCACCCTCCATGATCTCAGACACAGTCTGGGGCATTTAACCTTGGCACTGTGCTTGCTGCTGCGCGCTCGTGGCCTCGCGAAACGCTCCCGTGCCACTGCTGACGGATATCAGAATGTGGGGTTCGCGGCCTCACTTCGGTTGGCGTTCGTAACATAGAGGGGCCCACGCATACATATTCTCCAATCAGAGCTTGCCTCTGTATGGGTCCTAGCGGATTCATATGGTTAGGTTAGGTTTGCCGCTGATTTTCGCCGCGCGCCTGGGGGCCCGGGTTTGCCCGGGTGCCCAGGGGTGCCCGGGGGGTGCCCGGGGGTGCCCAGGTGCCCGGGCGTGCCCGGGGGTGTTTTTTTGCCCAATAGCCCAATAGCCTTACAACTCTATAGCACTATAGGGCTATAGAGTTGTAGGGCCCCCTAGCCCTATAGCCCTGATTGGGGCTTTTCGTCTGTGTATATATATACACACATGCAGACCTGCCGTCCCCTCCCCCTGCCTTCCCTCCCCCCGCCTCCTCCTCCATCCTCTCTGGAGCGGGTCGCGCGCGACGGGCTCGGGGTGAGACGACGCCGGCGGCGACGGAGACAACCCGACAGGGGTGTTCATCTGAAGCGAAACCGGTGTCCTTTTCCTCGGCTTTCTCCCTCCCCTCCCCTTCCCCTCCCCTTCCTCGCCCGCTTCCCGCCCCTCGTGCTCCCCCTGCCTGCCCCCCTCCCGCCCCCCCCCTCTCTCTCTCCCGCTCCTTGCCTCTCCCTATCCCCTCTCTTTCTCCTTGCTATGGAAGAGGCTTCGGAAGAGGACACTTGCTCGCCCTGAGGCCGCTGGGCGAGGCAGGGGAGACGAGCGGCAGCGACCCGCCGTTTATGCTAAAAGCTTGAATCTGCCATAATTTCCGTCGAAGGCAGATGAGAGCCGAACGGTATACCTTTGACTCCCCCCCGGCTTGCCCCCCTAACCCGCCTTCCACACGCCGCAACAGCATCGCAGCACGCGGACCATTTCCTTCTCACCCCCCTTCGGAAGGCAGGGCCGAATCCCAACACCTTCCGTTGGGGAGACCGGGCAGAGCAGAAATTCGCGCGCCTGGTCGTTTCTGCTGGCGGGCTCACTAGAGGTGACCCGTTGGCATACATTTTTCTTTGTTTGCACAAGTACGCACGCAACCGTACAGCCCAAACAGTCATAGCGCCGTCAGAGGCGCGACGGGTCAGCCGCGGGGCCACCCCCAGCGGGGCGTAGCAACGCCATGCGTGCTTGCCTGAGTTTTCGCGGGGAGAACGGCAAGAGGACCCCCCTCGCTCTTTTTCTTGTATACACCTCATCTCTCTTGAAATGTCCAGAGGAGGAAGAGGAGCAGGAGGAGGAGGAGGTCACTGAAGGCATCGCTGTCGGCGTCGTCGTCGTCGTCATTGCCGCGCCTCTCGTCTGCGCGGACTCTATCTCACACCCAAATGCTCAGAGACAGAGTTTCTTAGCGAAACGTGACAAGCGGATGAGATGCAGATTTGGGGATCTCCGCGTCGATTAATTGTGTTGCCGGTTTCGGACTCTGGGGGCCCTCGCCGGGCCCCAGGACTGTCAAACGACGACTCAGGGTGAAGAGCTGCTCCCAGCGTGCAGGGTGGAAGCTTCGGGGGGTCGGCACAACAAAACAAATCATGACGTCGGGGGAAGGCCACGGCCTCACCGTCAGTCGGGCGCGCGAGGTGCGCCCTCGGAGACACCGGTTGAGGGTATCGGAATGGGCACCGGGAGAATTGGCAAGATGCCCAACAGCAGTTCGTCCTCATTTTGAACCAGAATCGCTGTCCGCGCCGCCGCAGACATTGTTCATTGAAATCCAAGAGTCGCCGGCCCAACAACGGCCGCTGTCGGTTTTCGATAACACCTGCTGTTGGGCATTTTGCCAATTTTTGTTCATCCTGGGCGTCCTAATTGAAGTGCTGGTTCCGGGCGGGGTGTTCTGCGGGGGCGCCCTCCGAAAAGGGCGCATCCTGGCTCACCGCGCCCGTGTCCGCCCCCCCCCCCTCTCCAATGCCAGGGTCTTGGCATCGCTCCGACGTGTGCGTTTTTCTCGGCGAGGACCATCGAAGAGCATCGTGGGTCATCCTGGCCAGAGGATCGGCGCGTACGACCCAGATGGGCGTCGCGTAGCGGGGGGGGGACGAAGCGAGGGCTGCAGAAAACGGCTGTTGAGGGCTCCCAAACGGGCCGTTTAGGGCCCCAGAGTGGCTCCTAGGGCCCGAAAAGTGCACGTGCCCCCCCCCCCCTCCCATGTATCCCCCCCGGTATGCATTGCTCCTGGGCCCCGCATGATCCCATGTCAGGGAGCGGTGTACACGAAGACGGTCGCGCTGTCGGTTCTGGCCCACCACGCTTCGGTGCGACGCGCTCACCACGCCCCGGTCCCAGGGCGCCAGTGTCCCGAGTTTTTTCTGGGCCTCCCGCCTTGCGAAGCGGAGCGGCACGCTATCAGTTCACATGGCATAGCGCGCCGCTGGGGCCGCCGTTGCGACACGCTAAGTTATGCCAGAGATCTCGTCGCCCTGGCCTGGGGTCGTCCTGGAAGCGACGATAGGTTGGACGCCCGAGTTATCCGGGGTAACTCGGGTCCGGGGTAACTCGGGTTTGGGTTCCCGAAAGACGAACCCGAGTTAACCCTGACCCGAGTTATCCCTGATGATTCGGGGCTCTGGACGCCCGAAATATCCGGGGTAACTCGGGTCCGGGATAATTCGGGTTCGGATTCCCGAAAAAACGAACCCGAGTTATCCCTGACCCGAGTTACCCCTGATGATTCGGGGCTCTGAATAGGGCCGAACAGCCCAGGGGCGGCCATCACACACACACACTCGCCGAAGAAATGGACCACCGGCGCCCCTCGTATTGCTCCCCCCTGGGCGGCGGGGGCAGGGTTCGGCGACATGGCGAAAATCCGGACCCTGCCCTCGCCTCCCATCGATTCAGGAGAATCGATTGTTTGTGGGGGTAGGGTTCGGATGCCGTCACCTACTTACCGACCTCCTCGCGTCCCAGGCCTCCTCTCGTCGTGGAGGCCTGGACCCATTCCCGAAGGCCTGGACCCATTCCCCAGGACCGGCGTTCCATCCCGAGTCGTTCTTTGACGGTCCCGAGGCCTGGTAAGGGCCCACAGGCCGAAAATAGGAAGAAATTGTCCGCCGTGCTCATTTCCCCGACGCGAGGAGGTCTGGCTGGGCCCTGGGCTATCCGCCCACGTCTCCCCCGATGTCGCTGCTCCCCCCGCTAGCGTCCGCCGAGATGATGGCGTGCCGCTTCGCCCCGCGGGGCGGGGAGGCCAGGACAGGCTCGGGACGTTGACGCTGAGGAGACAGGGGCGCGGCGGAAGGAAGTGTCGCGCCAAAGCGTGGTGGGCCAGAACTGGCGTGACCTGCACGTAAGAGTGACCCTTGGCCGGAGTGACCTCTGGTGCGGGCCCATTGGTCTTCCGATCGCCGACTGCAGTGCGACAGCATCGGCCTGCGTGCATGGGTTTGGTCCCCCCGCGGCCTTCAAAAAGACGCCCACCAAAGGTCACCCTTGCCTAGGGCCACTTTTGCGTGCAGCCGATAGCGGCGCGACACGCTAAGCAAGGGTTCCCGACCGTAGATCCCGTGGCCCTGGACTGGGGCCTTTGCCCCCCCGCGGACGTTTGGTTTGGAGACCCTTCTAGCGGCGACGGCGACGACGACGACCATGATTGACGACGTTGACGACGTTGACGACAACGACGACGATGACGACGCGACGACGACGACGACGACGATTAGACGCGTATACTCTCGCAATTCCACCTGTAGCTAGCGTCGGTTAGCGCCGGTTTAGCGTCGGTTGGCATCGATTAGCGTTGATGTGGCGTCGATTAGCGTCGACTTGCGTCGACCAGCGTCGATTAGCCCAGAGGCCTTCGAAGCGGCCAGACGACGATTGGCGACGACGACGACGACGACGATGACAACGATTAGTCTTGTATGCCCTCGTAACCCCGTCTTTAGAGTGTACTGGCGTCGACTAGCTTCTGTAAATCGAGGAGATGGCGTCGATCAGCGCTGACTGGCGTCGATGAGTGTCGATTCGCATCGATTCGCGTCGATACTCGCGTCGACTAGCGTCGAGTCGCATAGATTCGCGTCGATACTCGCGCCGACTAGCGTCGATTGACCCGGAGGCCCTCCGAGCGGCCAGATGCCGGGGGCCCGCGCCAGCTGGGCTGGGGTGCCGCTGCCTGCCCCCGCTGGCCGCGGTGGCCCGCCGCCTGCTGCGCAGGCAGGCCCTGCCTGCGTCGGCGGGAGGGCTCGACGAGAGGTGGGGCGAAGGAGGAAGAGAAGGAGGTAGAGGAGGTAGAGGAGAAAGAGGAGAAGGAGGAGAGGGAGGAGGAGAAGGAGGAGGAGGAGGAGGAGGAGGAGGAGGAGGAGGAGGAGGAGAGGCAGGAGGAGGAGAGGCAGGAGGAGGAGGAGGAGGAGAAAGAGGAGGAGGAGGAGGAGGAGGAGGAAGCGAGGCAGGAGGAGAAGGAGGCGGAGAAGGAGAGAGACGCGTGGAGAGGGAGGAGGAGGAGAAGGGGGGAGGAGGAAGAGGAGGAATATGGATTATGATCAGAATAAGCAGAGTAATAATCAGAAGAAGTCGGGATGAGGAGTAGGAGGAGGAAGAAGGGAAGGGAGCAGGAGGCGTGGGAGAAGAAGCAGGGAGCTGGGCGAACGCAGCTCCACCCCGTTGCCTACGGACCATGGAGCAGTGGCTGGGGTAGGTCGGAGGAGGAAAGGGTACCCATACCGCTACTCTTCGCCCGTTTTCTCTTTTGGGGCCTCTTGTGAGGCTCTCGTCGCCACCGCTGGATTCGCCTCGAAATCCTGGTCAGAACGCACCCCAGGAGAGATCCGGGGAGTAGCGGTATCGGTACCTTTTGGTTTGCCCAGTAGGTGGTGGGTAGTTGTTGCTGCGACCGCGGCTTTTTGGTTCAGGACCGCGCAGCTGAGCCATACTTCTACACGCAACCGGTACAGCGGAACTTGAGAAACATTATTTGCCTTGATCCCCTCTCGCGCATGACAGTACAGAGGCAGGAGGAGGAGGAGGAAGAAGCGTTGGGGGAGGAGGAGGAGGAGGAGGAGGAGGAGGAGGAGGAGGAGGAGGGCAAGGAGAAGGAGGCTGCTGTGGAAGAGGTGGGGGAGGAGAAGAACGGGGGGCGGGTGTGTGGGGGGCAGATCTCGTCACCAGAGGCGCGCGCCCACCGTGCAGTTCAAGAGAGAAAGAGAGAGGGAAGATGCGCTTCCCTGATTGCACCCTCGCGCGTGCGCCCGCCACCACCACCACAGACCGTCTTCACCGCCACCAGAGAGGGCGTGGAATGGGGAATCGGGACAAAGGGAGGGTTGGGAGCCCCCGAACCAGGTGGTGAGATCAGGTGGTGACCTGGAATCCCCCAAAAGGCACGGCTGGGTTTGGGGACACGGGGTCACCGCCGGGTTTTGTGACTCTGGACCCACCAGCGTTCTGGGTAAAAACCGCACGCGTCCCCTAACTGGGTTGTGACACCAAATCGCCCGAGACTCACCGCCGGGTGTTGGGGAATACCAAGAGGGGAAATGGACAGGGGAGCACCCGCCCCATTGCTGGGCTGAGGCGGGCGAGGTTGACCTCGCCCGCCCCGTCGTTCATGTGGCGCTCCGCGGAACGCTCTGGCCAGCGGTCGCTCGCGCCTGGGGTCGGGCGGAAGCGGCGCTCGCCGCTTGGGAGGGCGGTGGGGGAGTGGGGGGGAGAGGGAAAGGGGGAGGGGGGAGGAGGAAGAAGGGAGGAGGAGGAGGAGGAGGAGGAGGAGGAAGAGGAGGAGGAGGAGGGGGGTGGGGCGAAGGCTTTCGGGGATGCGGGCCATGTCCTGTGGGAAAGCTGGAGCAGCAAGGGCCTACGCACAGGTCGTCCGAGGCCTCCGGGGGGTTCCCCCTTTTTGGCCCGCGTGCTGCCCCACAGGAGCATGTCAGCAATGATCCAGCAGGGGTGGGTGAGGAAGGGGAGGGGCAAGGAAGAAGACGAGGGAAAAGGCGAGAGGAGGGGAGGCGAGAGGGGAGGGGAGAGAAGAGCGAGGAGGACGAGGAGGGGAGTCGGACAGGAGGAGGAAAAAAAAAAAGGGAAAGAAAAAAGGGGGAGGGGGAAGGAGGGGGAGGGGAGGATGATGAGGGGGAGGGGGAGGGGCAAGGAGGGGGAGGAGGAGGAGAGGAGGAGGAGGGGGGATGGAAGTTGAGGGGAGGGGGAAGTGGAAGGCCGAGGCGGGGGCGAGGGGGGCCAAGGGGACCGGAGGGATGGCTGCGGGGGGGGGGGGCAGTGGAGGGAGAAGGTGGATGGGGGGTGGGGCGGCGGGGCAGCTCATCCTCT